CGATCAAATATTCGTAAAATAAATTAATAAATTACACTGCAAAAGTACCATATTTTTTCCGCTTTTTTTCCGTTCTTTCTGTTCTTGAACGCGATTGCTGTCCCTCTCGTCAGGTGAACGTTAATAAAGTTGTCTGGTTCGTACCGGCAAGTAGTCGAAACGATCTTTATCGTGAAGAATTATTTCTTATTGGTTTTTGTAAGATCCATCTGCGACGTCTAGTTCGGTGCTTTGTTGAAAATTGGGGATTTTCGTTGCATTTGATTGGAATTAATCCTAGGTTTTCCTGGCGATTCCTGAAAGTAATGGTTTCGGTAGTGACATAACGACGAGCGCCACACACCTCTTTAAAGTCGAATTAAGAAATTAATTTAAACAGTATATATTTTTATAGAAGAAAAATATATTTTCTTCTCTTTGTTAAAAGTGTTCTTCTATCATTATTAATATCGGCCACTGTAGGACATTAGTCCTGCATTAGTGCTTTTAGATACATGTACTATTATATATATATAATAAAATACATGCGCAAGTTAACATACTATTTCAGTACAAAAAATTTTTATACTTTTTTGGATATTATATTATATATATGAATGATATATATAATATGAAATTTTATATATGAATATAACGTAAAATGTGCGAATATTTAAAAACTTCGAGACAAATCGAATGGGTACCCCGATATCAGAAAAAGATCGTCAAATTAATTTATTTAAATGCTACAAAAAGATAGCTTAGAATTAATTACTTGAAATTATATCGATTTATTTTATCTTGCAACGTATTTGAATTGAAATATTTTAAATTTTGCTGTTATCGGGTTCGATTCGTCTCGAACAGTTGGTACCCGAGAATTATTTGTACTCGCACATTTAACACTAGCTATAATAACGATGCATGTATTTTATTATCTATAAATATATTTGTTCGTAACCATATTTTCATAAAAAATTGTTATATCCATCTATTTTTCAATAAAGAGATATATTTTTTAATAATGGAAGAACATGTTTTCTCGCGCAATTTCCAATCTCGTGAAATGAAGATAAATGGTAAACTGTCGTTGATTCATTACCGAAATCATTGCTATTGGGGGTAATCCGGAAGATTCGGGATTCGTTCCCTCTTGCAGCGGCTCTAACTTTCAACGGATCACTTAACTTTTCTTTGCGAATCGATCTTGCAGAAACTAATGTAGAAACAAGACGTTGGTCGTTCTCCACCTTTAGGATCGTTCTTCTCTTTGTCGAATATTAACCAGCGTGTCACCCGGCGGAGGGAGGGCCTTATTAAAATCGTTGGGTCTGTTATTCTCTATAAAATGGCAATAATGCGATTTTTATAACTATATATAAAGACTTATAAGATCCATTTTATTTTTTTAAAACGGTCATCCTCCAGATAAAATATATATCTTATTGTTGATCGCGACATTCGTATAAAATCGCGTATTGGAAAATAAATCGGGCGGTGGATACTATATAACAAATCTCGAATATTTGTCGAAATATTTTTACATAAAATGATAGTGATTATATCGCGCGCGCGTGTGTAGATTTCGATTATTATAGAAATTACGCGTATCGCAATCGAATATTACGAATATCATCGGTTTATTTATTTGTCGCGTTTGCTCGCGACTTTTAAATCGCGATTTGTTTTATAATTTAATCGTTGATGTACATCGAAACTTTGTTCTATTTTTTTGTCTTGAATTTTTTTTTAAAGTCTGCGCAAAATGCACCAATAGTGCACGAGTACTTCCTTCCACAATTAAAGATGATTAATAACTTTATTAATGACTCTTTTGGTCGCGATTCTTTACATTTTACATTATATAAAACTTATTAAGCTTTATAATTGTATGTCGATTATTAATAATTAATATTGCGTAATTAATTGTCGCTGAAAAGCCTTGTCTAGTCTAACAATTTCTAGTACATTTTTTATTATACACATATTTTGGACATTTTCGTGTAATTCCATGTAATAAATTATTTTGTATTAAATTTTGTATTAAAAATAAAATAATACCTACCTTGAGAAATGAAAAAGAGGAAAAAGCCTATCCTCACTTGAGAAATGAAAAAGAGGAAAAAGCCTATTCTCACACATTTTTCCTCCTCAATGGTATCTCCACCTTAACGAAGGCATTTGCCGGGTGAGGAGGTTTGTGTACTTTAATGAACCTGAGAGCTATGCCGGCGGTAACGTATAGCGCTTTCGAGTGAAGCAAGTTTAATCGTTCTGAGATCGATTAATGAATAAAATTCATAAATTCTGTCTTGGATTTTAGAGGTACTTGGATCATTAGATTAATCAATGAGAAATACTTCGAATAAGCCTTTGATTGATTAATCAGAATAAAGAATCTTTTGAAGCCAAAATAGCGGGATGTACTTTATATTATTAATATTATTGATGTATTATTGTATTATGTATATTTATATTAATCAGATTCTCTCGAAACCTATATTTGGTCAAACATATATTCATGGCAAATTGGATTTAATCGCTCTCAAAGCGATCAAACCTGTTTTACTCGAAAACGCTGTTATAGTTACCGGTAGGGTCACCCATGCCGGACAGGTCGAAGGGGAGGAGTCAGACTAAGAGAGATACCGTAATTATTATATATATATTTATTATATTAATATTTTTAATAAAATGGAAGCAAAAGAGACAGTAATCGAAAGAACAGAGAGAAAAAGAAGCAAAATATTTTTGTACTCCTTTCCGGACTAAGAAATATCTTGATATGTAATACGACATACGAAAAATCGATTTCTGAGAAACAGAAGTCTATTTTAGTATAATTTTCCTATAGTTTTATAATCTTTTATTTTTTACAGAATTTTAATCATTAGCAGCATTAATTAATTCTTTCACGTTTATATGATCGCTCGATAATAAGTACTGTCAAGTTTTTGCAAAATATTATACGAAAAATCGAGATATCTCTTGCAATATTGGTTGGAGCGAAAAAATTAAGAGTAAAAGTTAAGAGTTTCTTTTACATTTTGTGACATGCTACACAGGATTCTAATTAAAAAGCCGGAAATTCGAAAAAATCTATTTATCTTGTGATTAATCAGAATAAAGAATCTTTTGAAGCCAAAATAGCGGGATGTACTTTATATTATTAATATTATTGATGTATTATTGTATTATGTATATTTATATTAATCAGATTCTCTCGAAACCTATATTTGGTCAAACATATATTCATGGCAAATTGGATTTAATCGCTCTCAAAGCGATCAAACCTGTTTTACTCGAAAACGCTGTTATAGTTACCGGTAGGGTCACCCATGCCGGACAGGTCGAAGGGGAAGAGTCAGACTAAGAGAGATACCGTAATTATTATATATATATTTATTATATTAATATTTTTAATAAAATGGAAGCAAAAGAGACAGTAATCGAAAGAACAGAGAGAAAAAGAAGCAAAATATTTTTGTACTCCTTTCCGGACTAAGAAATATCTTGATATGTAATACGACATACGAAAAATCGATTTCTGAGAAACAGAAGTCTATTTTAGTATAATTTTCCTATAGTTTTATAATCTTTTATTTTTTACAGAATTTTAATCATTAGCAGCATTAATTAATTCTTTCACGTTTATATGATCGCTCGATAATAAGTACTGTCAAGTTTTTGCAAAATATTATACGAAAAATCGAGATATCTCTTGCAATATTGGTTGGAGCGAAAAAATTAAGAGTAAAAGTTAAGAGTTTCTTTTACATTTTGTGACATGCTACACAGGATTCTAATTAAAAAGCCGGAAATTCGAAAAAATCTATTTATCTTGATATTTGGATGTGTCTTTATACGACATGCGAAAAATTATGATTTCCGAAACGCGGAGATCTATTCTATTATATTATTATATTTTCCTATAATTTTAATCATGTTCGGTAAAAATGCATAATAACGGACCCAGCTCCAATGACCTTGACCTTGGCATATGTTGTCAAGGTCATGACCTTGAGTAACCTCCAAAAGGTTTTAGCCGTCGCTCGTTTTCTATTAAAAAGTTATTAACAAAAAAAGTTTGAAAAATATAGCAGTTATTTTGAGTATTGAAAGGCATAAATAACTAATATATATGTGGAAAAAATATATGTATGAACGATTTCCCGCTTTTTCCCCCATGTTGTAAAGTTTATTCGTGGACGCAGTGGGTTCCCCCCCCCCCCTATGGGGGGCTCCACTTCCGAAAGATATAGCTTAACACAAACCAAATTTTAGTTTTAAATCAGGAATAGGTAAGTTTCCTCCCTTTTTTTTTTTACCGAAAAACTCTTTTAGCTGAATTTTGCAGGTCTTCAGATTTTCGAATTTCTTTCCATTAAGAAAATTCTGCAAGGAACGAGATAAGTAATGATTTGATAATGCAAAATTGAATATAATAAGTATGGTTTGATATTGTTCAAGTCTTATTGTTCAATATCTTTTTTAGCTTGCATTTTTACTTATACGGTAATAATAAAGTATAATGCAAAAATGCATTTCAGTTTCTTGTATTTTCAAAGTAATGCCAAACGCGATAAACACAACCATTTTTTATATTTTTTTCAAACGCTGTGGATTACATAAAATATTAATTTTTTTAGAGATTACATAAAGCCATGTATGGAAACAAATAAAAAGATTTTTTGGCCAACCCAATATAATTATAAATATATAGATATTTGCGGATTATATAGTATGTAAACTTTATAAATATATATATACATATATATGTATGTATGTATGTATGTATGTATGTATGTATGTACGTATATATGTATGTATGTATGTATGTATGTATACAGTATAATAATTATTGTATAAATAAAATGCGCATAAATATACAAACAAAAAATTTAAATATTTAATTTATTTAATTATTAACTTATTAAAGCACATTTGTGCGTAATATTGTGCTTAATATACATATAATGAATTCAAGACAAGTTTATGTAAATTATATTATTTGTACATACCATAAAATGGTTTGAATTTGTCAACATAATGTTGAAAAATTTCTTTTTCATATTCTTGAGCTCGTTGGTAATAATCTTCCATTTCAAAAACAATAAACTGTAGAATTAAAAAATTGGCAAAACATTTTTTAATTTTAAATGAAATTTACTTTAATTAAATTTTAATTTAATTTAAAGCTAAATTACAAAGGTATATCATGAAAATATTCTGAAATTTGCAAAAAATAATGACCTTCCTCGACATTTTCGCTAAGAATAAAATTGGTTCCAAAATTGTCTTATTATTAAAAGAACATCTGGATAATTCGAGATATCTTACATACTATAAATTTTGTTTAATTTTTAGGATAAAACTTACTGAACAGTGTGACACTGTTCATTATAAAATATCATTATAATTAAAAGATTTTTAAAAATTTTAATAACTTTAATAATAATTTATAAAAGTACATCTTTAAATTACTATTAGTGTATATATATCACTTTTGTGAGAACTATATTGCTCTTAATAAAGCACAGCTTTTTAATGTGAAAAATCAGTACAAATGAAAATCTTACCTGCAAACGTTTGTTCTGCATCGCAAAAAGCATCAATTGTAATGGAACTTGTAAAACGGAGCAAAATTCGCATCCTATTTTTATCAAAGCCATATAGTCGTTATACTTAAAGAGTGTCCTTAATGCCGTAACAATATATATTATTGAGTTCACGCAACAGAAATATTGAAAGGCACTATGACGAGATCTCTGAAACTTCGTCGCGTTCGGTGATAATGGCCAACAGCAAGCGAAAGTCAAGTATATCTTCAGGAAAGCAATTACTTTATCCAGCGTTACTTTTGCCTCCATAACACACGGAAGTGCTTCGTGCTAATTCACGGCAGAAACTCAAGCTGGCAAAACATGAACTTTAATTCACCCTCGCAATATCGCTGAGGTTATTTATTCGAGCACTATAATGACGCTATAATGACACTATTGTGAAGCGCCGAGCAATGTACGCGCGGTGCATAAGATATGATTAGCGTTGCACCCTATATTCGGAACAGAACGCATCGATTTTCGAGGGATTTAAACATGCGTGCGATACGCTATTAAAAGACATCAGAACTAACATTTTGCTCTAACACTGCTTACAATTTATAAATTAATTAGCTGAATGGTTGCCCTATAAAATAAAATTAATAAAACAAATTTTGTGAAAAAACTAGTTTTAATATTGCAAATTTTTTTATAATTTATGGAAAAGTATTTAATATTTTAATAAATTGTATATGTTAAATGTAATTTAAGACTGATATTTCTCAGAGTTTGTAGAAGTTATTTTACTGTAAGAGATTATTTGTAGGATTATTCTTGGATTGTCTCGAGTTAAGTGTTGCCTACAATATTAAAACGTGTAAAACTGGCGAGAAATGTTTTTAGTTAGACTGATTGCTACCTGGAAAGTTGTTTGCAAAATAATTTTCATCGATACTGACTACATGTCTTGAATTGCTTTTCCCACTATATAAGTAGGCAATGGCCATTAATTAATCATGCGCATCGAGAACATGACGTTACATTTCCTGTCTATAAACGCTTTTAGAATTTACGTTGCGTTTATGTAAGTGCTAATTAACGGCAATCAACGGTCACAGGTGTAGAGCTCTTCCTAGCAATTGATTAAATGATTTTTAAGATTGTTTAGAATAGTGTAAATAAGAGGTATGTGTGTAAAAAGCGAATTCTCAGTTCAATTTTGGATTTTATAGTGTCACAAAATGTAGACTTGTGTAAGTATCCTATATAAATTATTAACGCTTAATAATTTATCTTGATTTGATGACCATAAATTTTATATATTGATTGATTTTGTTTTGCTTTTCATTTGTAAATCTTAATTATTATCGATTTGAATTTTTTGTTGTATGTTTTATAACAAATAATCAAATATTAATTAAAAATTTAACTGCAAAAGACGAAATTTTAAGTGTAATTTAAAAAAATCATGTAATTGCATCAACTGACATATACAATTACAGGTTTATATTATAAATAGAAAGTGCCTGGTAATATACAGAGTGTCCCAGAATTACCTGCTAATGTATATATGTATGTATGTATGTATGTATGTATGTATGTATGTATGTACGTATATATGTATGTATGTATGTATGTATGTATACAGTATAATAATTATTGTATAAATAAAATGCGCATAAATATACAAACAAAAAATTTAAATATTTAATTTATTTAATTATTAACTTATTAAAGCACATTTGTGCGTAATATTGTGCTTAATATACATATAATGAATTCAAGACAAGTTTATGTAAATTATATTATTTGTACATACCATAAAATGGTTTGAATTTGTCAACATAATGTTGAAAAATTTCTTTTTCATATTCTTGAGCTCGTTGGTAATAATCTTCCATTTCAAAAACAATAAACTGTAGAATTAAAAAATTGGCAAAACATTTTTTAATTTTAAATGAAATTTACTTTAATTAAATTTTAATTTAATTTAAAGCTAAATTACAAAGGTATATCATGAAAATATTCTGAAATTTGCAAAAAATAATGACCTTCCTCGACATTTTCGCTAAGAATAAAATTGGTTCCAAAATTGTCTTATTATTAAAAGAACATCTGGATAATTCGAGATATCTTACATACTATAAATTTTGTTTAATTTTTAGGATAAAACTTACTGAACAGTGTGACACTGTTCATTATAAAATATCATTATAATTAAAAGATTTTTAAAAATTTTAATAACTTTAATAATAATTTATAAAAGTACATTTTTAAATTACTATTAGTGTATATATATCACTTTTGTGAGAACTATATTGCTCTTAATAAAGCACAGCTTTTTAATGTGAAAAATCAGTACAAATGAAAATCTTACCTGCAAACGTTTGTTCTGCATCGCAAAAAGCATCAATTGTAATGGAACTTGTAAAACGGAGCAAAATTCGCATCCTATTTTTATCAAAGCCATATAGTCGTTATACTTAAAGAGTGTCCTTAATGCCGTAACAATATATATTATTGAGTTCACGCAACAGAAATATTGAAAGGCACTATGACGAGATCTCTGAAACTTCGTCGCGTTCGGTGATAATGGCCAACAGCAAGCGAAAGTCAAGTATATCTTCAGGAAAGCAATTACTTTATCCAGCGTTACTTTTGCCTCCATAACACACGGAAGTGCTTCGTGCTAATTCACGGCAGAAACTCAAGCTGGCAAAACATGAACTTTAATTCACCCTCGCAATATCGCTGAGGTTATTTATTCGAGCACTATAATGACGCTATAATGACACTATTGTGAAGCGCCGAGCAATGTACGCGCGGTGCATAAGATATGATTAGCGTTGCACCCTATATTCGGAACAGAATGCATCGAGGGATTTAAACATGCGTGCGATACGCTATTAAAAGACATCAGAACTAACATTTTGCTCTAACACTGCTTACAATTTATAAATTAATTAGCTGAATGGTTGCCCTATAAAATAAAATTAATAAAACAAATTTTGTGAAAAAACTAGTTTTAATATTGCAAATTTTTTTATAATTTATGGAAAAGTATTTAATATTTTAATAAATTGTATATGTTAAATGTAATTTAAGACTGATATTTCTCAGAGTTTGTAGAAGTTATTTTACTGTAAGAGATTATTTGTAGGATTATTCTTGGATTGTCTCGAGTTAAGTGTTGCCTACAATATTAAAACGTGTAAAACTGGCGAGAAATGTTTTTAGTTAGACTGATTGCTACCTGGAAAGTTGTTTGCAAAATAATTTTCATCGATACTGACTACATGTCTTGAATTGCTTTTCCCACTATATAAGTAGGCAATGGCCATTAATTAATCATGCGCATCGAGAACATGACGTTACATTTCCTGTCTATAAACGCTTTTAGAATTTACGTTGCGTTTATGTAAGTGCTAATTAACGGCAATCAACGGTCACAGGTGTAGAGCTCTTCCTAGCAATTGATTAAATGATTTTTAAGATTGTTTAGAATAGTGTAAATAAGAGGTATGTGTGTAAAAAGCGAATTCTCAGTTCAATTTTGGATTTTATAGTGTCACAAAATGTAGACTTGTGTAAGTATCCTATATAAATTATTAACGCTTAATAATTTATCTTGATTTGATGACCATAAATTTTATATATTGATTGATTTTGTTTTGCTTTTCATTTGTAAATCTTAATTATTATCGATTTGAATTTTTTGTTGTATGTTTTATAACAAATAATCAAATATTAATTAAAAATTTAACTGCAAAAGACGAAATTTTAAGTGTAATTTAAAAAAATCATGTAATTGCATCAACTGACATATACAATTACAGGTTTATATTATAAATAGAAAGTGCCTGGTAATATACAGAGTGTCCCAGAATTACCTGCTAATGACAGATTCTTGAGATCATTTGGAGACGATTTTTCTTCAGCGAAAATATCGAAGCATCAATAATTTCCGTGTTATAAGCAATTAAAAAAGAAAGACTTTTTGCAAACTAAACTTTATAGAGAATTAAAATTACATTCTTTAGTTAATTTCAGATAGAGTTCACTTTAATAGAAGGAGAATTTTAATTTAAGGCTTAGTTACAAAGATATATGATAAAAAAAATTGGAAACTTGCAAAAAATAATGACCTCTCTCAACATTTTCGCTGAGGAAAAATCGTTTTCAATTGATCTCAAGAATCTGTCATTAGCAGGTAGTGCGATAATTCTGGGACACCCTGTATAATCGCATCACCTCTCGTGTATAAGTAGAGCGAGTTAAACCGAGTAGGAAAGTTTTCTACCGTTTTGCAAGTTTCGCAGTAATTAATAAGAAATTAATTTAAAAAAGTCGACCAATCCGTGCGAGTAAAAACGCGCGGCGAGAAGAGATGGAAATTATAAAGCTATTTTTGGAGTCATTTTATGTGCAAGTTTTATTATAATCCTGCAATTCTATTATTATAGAATTATAGCAGACATTTCATAAAAATACAGTTGCGCAAAGTTTTACTATAGTTAAGATTTTTTCCTTCTACTCTTGGCCCATTATAAGACGCACAGACGCCATGTATGAAAAAACAGTTGAGATATACTAAAACAATAAAAGAAAAAATCCATATTATTAACAACTTATAATTCTAAATACTCCTAATAACGGCGATTATTCATCTAGATTATTCATTTAGAAAATCTAAGAAATAAACCACAATTTATAGCAATTCTTATGTTTATCAAACAATATACATGTAATAAACATAAAAAAAAAAATAATTTTAAAAAATATACTCTTACCGACGCGTAATACTTCATAGATAAATTTGGTAATGCACATGGAACTGAAATAGTGACGGGACGTTGACTTCTTTGTATAACATGTACTAAAATCTTTCGCGTGGCCAAATCATTGTTGTACCATAGTGAATTGTAGGCGGCGATCGCAATGTCACTACTCTAATAATATATATATACACAATTATACAATCCACATTTTTTATGTAAATAACTAACCGTGCTCATTACATTATCAGCTGGCCAGGCATACATATAAAGTTCTACAAAGCCGCAGAAAGCTATCATGAGAAACGTCCATTTCACTGACCATGGTTGACGCTATTATGTAGAAATATCGGGAAAAGATAATATCGTATATACATATACAATAACATATTATGTAACTTATATTATACATTAAACAAATTTTATTTTAACAAATTTCATGGACGTGTGTGTGCATATAATTAGAAGAGATAATGTGCTTTTCGTAGACAACAAAAGTGAAATTGTGCAATTTTATAGAGAACGGTAATTTTTTACGTAGAATGCGTAATAACTTTCACACGAGACCATGATACATATTACTCTTACGCTCATAAAGGTAAGATAACCGAATATTACGGCACCAGTACTGAAAGTTACGCATAATAGTGCTATATAACGTACGGCAAGCGTCACTTCTTTTGCATATCTGTAAAAGAATATTTATTTTCAGAAAATATAATTATATCAATTCTTAATTGTTGTGAAATTAATATGCGATTAATTTATGTGCAATATTTCATAATTTATATAGTTAAAAAATAGTTAAGTATATAGATGTACCAAATTTAAAAATTTTTTAAATTGATATAATGATGAAAACTCAAAATAAATTAAAATCCTAAATTCGAGTCTAAAGAAAATTAGAAGAAAGGCAGAAGATTAAACAAAAATATATATGTATATAATTCTTTTGAATGAAAATTATAAATATTAAAATTATAAATGGGCAGTATAAATACTGCCCATAACTCTAATAGCGCTCTTAATAATCCTTTCCTTATATAATGTTTTACAAAAAAAGAATTAATACATTATATTATATTTTCTAACTACCGCAATTAAACCGGTATTGTCTTTTAATCCTGTATTTTCTTTCGTGCATAATCTTATATACCTGAGTAATATATAATGTTCTCGCGTATATTTTATGAGCTCCTTCATGTTCGTCATCGTACGGAACCGGACGGACAAAATGTGGAATCTGGCGGCTACAAACCAAAGTAGAAGAGCAGGAAAAATATTGGCGCTAACTTGTATTACACTTTGATAAGCAGTCAACATATGATGTACGTAGATAATAGTTTTCAATGGTTGATAATGTACGTCAAATGGGTACTCCACTTCACACGGAAACGGTTGCGACGTGTACAATGGTGCGAATATCACGGAAATACCTGTCATTGCCAGCCAGAAAAGAATGATACCTGTAGCAAATATGAGGATAGAAATAAAAGTAGGAACACACTATTTTAATGTTATAAATATATGAATAAAAATTTCAATATTTTAATTAATTTATCTTTAACTCGTTTTATTGCACAAAAGATGCATGTAATTAATTGAAGATAAGTTCATATGAAATATATAAATAATCATACGTTACGTATCAGTTATACGTACCATAAAATGGTATGCTTGTATTAATATACTGTTGAAAAATTTTCTTTTCATATTTTTGCGTTTGCTTGTAATAATTTTCCATTTCCGAAACAATATACTGCATATTTGTCAAAATTAATATTAATTATTTCGTTACTGTTTTATAAATGATATTATTATGAAAGTATTAAAGTTATATTTTATGTCGATTTATATAGTTTTTTTTTTTATATATTTGATTATATACGGCAAAACTGCAAAAGATGGCGTATAAAATATGATAAATATCACAATAATTGTTTAAAAAATTTTTATTTTATAAGACAAATAAATTCAATTATACATACACATAAATATTTTACAGTTTAGAGTATATATTTTAATAAGAATAAAAATTATTAAAATTAAAAATAAAGCTATGATAAGGAAATAATTCTAACTATTCTTTAAGAATGTATAACAATTTTTTTTTTTTTTTTTTTTATCTTACTATTAATCATCAACCATCTTTTGCGAAACTTATTGTTAGTAACTCACAAAAAAGAACGTAACTTTTTTTACGAGAGACGTATACATAAGTGTCTTATACCTGCAAACGTTTGCCCTGCAACGCGAAAAGTATCAGCTGTAACGGAACTTGCAAAACGGCGCTCAATTGGCATCCTAGTTTCATCACAAGTAGCGAGTCGTCGCTGTGTTTATAGAGCGTCCATACCGCCCCAATGTTAAATGTCATTGAATTCACGCAACCAAAATATCGAATGCCAGTGCGAAGAAGTCTTTGACGCTTCGTTGCGTTCGATGGCAGCGGCCAACAGCATGCGAACGTCAAGTATACTCTCACAAACACGAATATTTTATCCAGCGTTATTTTATCCTTCATAATAACACACGGAAGTGCAACTCACAATGGACATTCAAGCAGGCCTAATACGAACTTTAATCATCCGCATAAGATTATTTATTCGTGTAAATACTGTAATAACACTGTCGTGAGGCGCCAAGCATTGCGCGTTGCATAAAATATAAGCAACATTATCTATTACATCCTATATTTGGAGCAGACTACATCAATTTTCGAGGAATTTCAATGTACGTGATACTCTATTAAAAAACATTAAGCTATTTGGATGACATTGATTACAATTCTACAAACCAGTCTTTTAAAATTTAAGTATTAAAAAAATAATATAATTAAATATAATTTAAGTATTGACAAAATCTAGTTTTAATATCGCAAGCTTCTCTAATTTCGATATTTTTATGCAATTACGTGATGTTTTCATAAGTCACACATGTTAAACATAATTCGAAACACTGATATCTTTTGAAGTTGCGAAAGTTGTTTTACTTTCGGAAATGCGGAAGCCTATTTGTAGAACACTTGAATTGCTCATTATTCCTTTAAGATTATTCGACAGACTGCGGGAGAAGTTTCACGTATAATATTGGAGTAAAACAGCATTTATGCGAAAGTGCTGACGATCTTAGTTGCTACGATTGATTATTACCTGGAAAGTTGTCTTTACAGAGGAATAATTTTCCTCGGTATTGATTAAACACTTTGTCTTGAAATGCTTTTTCCATCACATAAGAAAATAAACGTCATTAATTAATCATACGTATCGAACCTAACATCAGCACAAACTTACAAGCACTTCCAGATATTACATTGCTTTTATGTAATTACAGTCTAATAGTATACGTAATTGTCTAGTAATAATTAAATCCAACACGATATACTATAATTAGCAATGAAACGGAATTACAGAGTCCCTTCTGGTAATTGACTACAAGCTATTATAACAAGCGTAGTATACGACTTAAGGTAAAGCGAAATCAATTCATTGTCGGTAGTGATATGATATAGACGGAAAGAAATAACTCGTATAATTTATTATACGTTATTATAATACGCAGATCTTATTTTTCAGAAATCCACTTTTTGATAATTACTAGATACAATTATTATACAAGAACTATTCGTATTTTACATAAGTGTATCAGCATCGTTCAATCATCATCTTCTTCAAGTAAAACTCGAAACGTGGCTAGATAGGAGAAAGCAGTCGAGACGTACTAAAAATGTTTTAAAAATTATAAATGTTTGATTTTGATAATTTAGGTAATTAATCGTGTTGTTTATTAACTTATTTAAACTTATCTCACTTATTTAAAAATTTTGTCACAAGCAAACCGGTATATAAATATATATTTATTTATATTTTTGTTATAAAAATAAAGTATTATCTATAGAATATAATTAACAAAAATATATATAAGAATAACTCTCTCTCTCTCTCTAAACAACTTATTATCTATATTTTTTAAATAAAAGCAAATAAAAATATTTGTGCAAGATAATTTAGTACGACAATATCTCAAACACGTATCTCATTAAATAATGCAAAAATATTCATATTTATAAACACAAAAATACTATAATAAAATCAGTGACTCACTGAGGCATAATAATTTAACGAAACAGTCGGTAGCATGCAGGGTACGTTTACAGCTATAGGTTTTTGGCCACGTAATAAAGTGTGCATAAAATTCTTCTGAAAATCAACCTTCCCGTTATACCACATTGAGTCATACGCAGCGTGAGTAATATCAGTGCTCTACAATATTAAGTTTTAAATATATATATATATATATATATATATATATATATATATATATATATAT